ATAAATTCTGTGTTTTTTTGCATACAGAAAAAGTCGATTTTCAGTATCTAATATATGGAAATACTAATCAAAAATAACGTATACAATATACTGATTAGTCGTATAAAATCTATCAAAAATAACGTATACAATATACTGATTAGACATATAAATCTATGTAAAATTATGTATACAATATACTGATTAGACATATAAATTCCGTATTTTTTTGCATATGGAAAAAGTCGATTTTCAGTATTTTGTATATGGAAATATTTATGAATTTATTATACTGTTTGTCTACGTTTTTTATATGTTTATTAAACATATTATTTCTGTATACTTTCCTTATACTAATTATTTATAGGGCAGAAAGAGATATTTTAGCAGTAAATTTTCCTTATTTTAATTAATAATGTGAGGTATCTGATAAGGATAGAACTAAGAATAAGAAAATAATTTAATAAGTTTTAATCATTTGGAATTATATAAAAAATAAAAATATAAATAAACCAATATAATATTATTTATTTCAATTTGATGAACTTTATAGATTTTTAATTATTAGTTAATATGTAGATAAATATATAAGAAGGGTAATTTATGATTTTATGATTTACAATTTATAAATTTAAAATTTTATATGATTTTTATTGATAAATATTATTAAGTATATTGTAACTGTATTACTAAGCAAAAAAATTATAATGATAAAATAAGTAACTATGATATTTGCAATAAGCAATATGATTGGTAAAATTTTGTTAATTAATTCTCAAATAATTTTACTAATCAAATTGCTTATTAAAACAAATTTGTGCAATTAGATGCTAGGTGAGTCTGTATTACATGTATAATTATGTGATTATTGTTAATCTTATATTTTTAATTCATTTTAATGTATTTGATTTAATCTTTTATATTCTGTTATAACATTATTGTCTATTTTTAGGCAATTAAAATTGAATGAAAATATGTTTAACCAATCCTAAAAGGGAACTTTGTTTATTATTATGTAAATTTAACTTAAAATGAATATGTTTTCATCTATTATTAGTAATATATGTAGTAATGTAACATCTTGGGTCTTATTTATTATTAAAGTGAATGCATTTTGTAATAAATATTAGTTTCTTAATATATGTATACCATTTATTTTAAAGTTCATTATAGTTTTTTAGAGGTTATTTTGCTAATATTTCTATTAGTTAGGAAAATAACTTCTATATTTTTTTTATTTATAATTTTCATTATTATTCCTATTATTCTATTACAGATGCTATGTTCTATTAATTTGTTATTTAAATATATAATCTTACTTTTTCTTAGATTATGATAAATTCAAAAAAAATTGTTAATTATTTTAGATTTTAAAATTTAAGATTTCTATTAATTTTGAGGTTATGAGATCATAACATTGATTATTGAATAGCAAAGTTTGATAGATAATTATATTAATTTATTTTAGAGTCTAATAAGATAAGTAAAATTTATAATAGCATTTTGATTTTTTGAAGATTTCATTTTTTTGTTAATTATTTTTTTGAATTTTTTGACAGAAAACCAAATATTAATTTTTGAAAGAGTTTGTAATATTTAGATCATTATTTTGTCAATATGATTTAATTAGAAGTAAAAAAAAAGGGTTTCTAGACTTATAAAAAGAAGACTTGTTCCTTATTTACAGATGGTAATTGTGCAAAAAATCATAAGTTTATTTATTATTGTAGTAAAAGAATTATAGACTTTTTTTAATATGAAATAACTTTAACTTTATTTATCTTTTTGCTTTGCTATCATTTTACATGAAGAGGTAAAAGAACCAAATAAGAATACAATTGATAAACCATGCATATCAGACTCCTCTTCTAAGATTTTTAGATTTAAGGTTGTTACTTAAATTACTTGAATTACAATTATTTAAATTATATTAAAAATTAGCATTTTAATTGATTAAGTTATTTTATTGATGATTTATGAAAAAAAAGAGCTTATTACAAATAATTCAGATTCAAAATTTAGAAAATGTCTAATCATTAATATTATTGAATTTTTTATTTCTTGGATTATGATTTTATTATTATATCAAATGTGTTAAAATTAATTTTAATAAATTTATTGTAATCTATTCTATTATATGCTATACCTATAGAAACTTTTTCTCTACTAACATTTTTAACAAACACAATTGAGAATATATTTGATGATATTATTTATTTATTTTTTTTTATGAAAAGCTTTTTTATTAATATATATATAGATGTAAAAGATAAATAAGAATTTTTCAAATTGACAATTATTTTGACAAATCTAGATTTCATTAAAAAACAATTAATCAATTAACAAAGAAAAAAAAATAAGTTATTTATTTATAGAGATTAACTTTGTTTCTATTAGTATAAGTTTTTTTTTTGTTTATTTTTTCTGAAAAAATGCTAATCATTAAGAGTAAAAATGAAATTATTTGTAAAAATTAACTTTTTTTTGTTTTAAATTAATTTTTGCTTACATATTTATACGTTAATAATTTTTTTTTAGATTATAGATTACAAACCAAATATATTTATGTATTTATTTAACTAAATTATTAAAAAATTTTTAATAGACTATATACAGAGGGTATCCAAAAGTTTCTAAACGTCATCTTTGACATTATATTTCTCAAAACTTACTGATTAGAATTAAACAAATTTAAAATATATTAGATATAATCTAGGTTATAACATATAAAATTTTTAGATAATTTGAATTACTAAATATTGAGATATTAATGTAATTAGCAAAATATAAAAAATTTTAATTACAGTTTTTTTTTAAGCTTTAAATAATGTTAAACTAATTTTCTTAAAATCTAATGATTTAAATTAAATATAAATTTAAATATATAATAAATGAATAATATATTTATAATATATCAAAATTTGAGTTATTTTAAATCACTGGTTAGTGAGATAATTAATATAAAAAATATTGTTTTAAAACCTTAATATTTTATATATTGTTTATATCAAATATATATCAAAAATCTCAACAACCAATAATTCAAATTAGTTCAAATATTGATATATTATAAATATATTATTCATTTTTATATATTTAAATTTTTATTTAATTTAAATCATTAGATATTAAGAAAATTAATTTATTATTATTTAAAAACTTTAAAAAAAAAATGTAATTAATATTATTTATATTTTGTTAATTATATTAATATCTCAATATCTAGTCAAATTATCTAAAGCCTGAGATTAAATCTAATATATGGGAGATTTGCTAGGAAAATGGGGCTCTGAGCATTTTTTATTAAAATTTTAATTTTAATTTTTGATAATGTTAGATTAAAATGCAATAAATATTAAAATTTTAATAAAAAAATGCTCAGAGCCCCATTTTCCTAGCAAACCTCCCATATATTAGATTTAATCTTAATTCTAATCGGTGAGTTTTGAGAAATACGATGTCAAAGATAGCGATCGGAAACTTTTTGGTACCATCTGTATAGAAGCTTTTTACGGTAAAAAAAGATGTGGGGAGTTTTCGCATAAAAACATAGCATAGCAAAAGCAAAAGCAAGCATAGCAAGGCTAATGTATAATAAAGCAAAGCATAGCAAAAGAACGAATACGCTCTTATAAAACAGAATATTCCTCGTACAACAAATCTTTCTCAAAAAAGGCTGAGATGTTGTTTTAGATTCATTTACTAAGATAAATAAACTAAAAAATCAAAAGAAGAAACGACCAGCATGATCATCGATTATTTAACTAAATTAAGAAAGACACGACAAATGGTTCAATTTTTTTTTTTTACGCTAACTAAATACCACGATAGTGCCGCAGTTATGAGGCGCGTAGTGCTGAGTAACTGTTTATCGGGCATATTGTTAGTAACAAGTTATACTGACATAAATCCTCAAATAGTGAATGCCCGATAATAAAGTTTTATTGATCCATCTAGACCTCGAATATTGACGTATGTAACTACATAGCACATTCTCATCAGCCTATCGGCTGATATTTAACCCGCCAGTGTACAAATTTTCCGGTTAATTATCCGATCCATTATAAAAAAAAAATTCCTCATATTTTCGGATTTAAATTTTCCGGTTTCGGATAAATATCCTGAACTCTGGTGCTAGCTATATATTATAGTAACAGTAACTTTTGTCAAAGACTTTTTTCGATATCCGCGTGATTTCCACGAGGTCAAGGTGCTATCTATCACCTTTGTATTCATATGACTTGTCGCGTTTTCTTCTTTAAAGACTTTGAAAATTATATTAGTTTTAGGTTGAATGAAAGAAAAAGAAAAAATCAAATAAAACTTAATTCTAAGAACCACGTTGTAGTTTTGTTGATTCACAAAAAAAATAAATAAATAACTAAATTCGAGTAGATTTATTTCCGAAAATTGTTTTTAACTAAAACCAAATTTGTCTAAAGATATTTGGAAAATTGTTTCTTAATCTGGATAGACGAATTGTTTCTAAAATTAAAACTTTCTTTTGCGTGTGATCGATAATAAGGTGGTTGACGGAGATCCAAAACGAGATAAACCTCCGAAGATTTCGGGTCGGGATTATAACATGATTGTAACACCATGCGTTTTCGTTATTAAGTTACTTGACTATCAAAGATCTAAAAGAATTTCAGAAAAATTTCAAAAAAAAAAAAAAAAAAAGGAGGAAAAATGAATCTGAAACATTATTTTTCTGCGAAATTTTCGCGGGGTCATATTTTTTATTTATTTTTTTTTTCTTATTTATTTAGATTTAGATATCTAATACATTTATTTAGGGAGGGGGAAGTGGAGAATTTATTATAATACCTCTTATACATATATATATATAACTAGCTAATATTAAGAATTAATACCTCTTATACATTTGTATATATATATAACTAGTTAATATTAAGAAGAAAGCAAACGCAAAACATAACATAAAGGAAAGAAAGTAATTATTATTATCAATATGATTATAAATAAAGTAAAATGAATGTAAACGGTAATTAATATTTATAAAAATATTCATAACAATTATTTGATTCTGGTACAAGTTCAAAACATGATCCATCAACAGATTGAAAGAACGTGTCATTATAATTCGAATAAATGTTCCCGTTTATTAAATTTAGCTGTTGATACCCATAACCAGGAACATTCATTATATCATGAGGAATTACATAAGATTGTTGCATTTGCATGAAATTTGGCATCGCATTTACTTGTAAATGAGACACCTCTTCGGAATTTTCTATATCATTATTTGGAACTTCTAAAGATTTGGGCTCTTCAGAATTCCTGACAAAATCATCGTGTAATTTCTTAACTTCATTAGCCACATCCTTATAATATTGACGAACAAATTCGGGTTCCTCCTTCCACGCGTCACCCGCCATCGTAGATATATCCGTCATCAATGGGGTAGTACATCCATTCGCTCGTAATGCTTCTGCAAATTGGATACGATAGATTAAAAAGTAATTGGCACACCTTTTACGAGGCTTGCCATCTTTTCGTGGTTTAACCAAGTCAATTGGATTAACTTTAGGAGGAAAAGGAACGGAAATGGATTTCATATCTTTTAAATTTTGGGACACTTGAGATGAATGCAAGCGCCCGCTTTCATTAACAAATTGTGACTTTGGCATATTTTTGAAGATACGTTAAAAGAATATGATTGATTTTGATTTATTATGTGAAACGACCGTTAAATTTGTTCACCACTTCAAGGATGTTTGTTCGTAAAAAAATAAATAAATAAACAAAAATAAACCAAAAAAAATAAATATTGAATTTGATGATTTTATAGTGTGAAGAATTTATATTGACATACATTAAAAAAAAAATAAAAAAAAGATAAACTTCACATTCACCATATAAAAGAATTATTTTCCATTATTTTAACGCAAGCAATTTCAAATTAGAACCCTTTACCTTTTGATCTACCTAATTTTAAATGCGTGTAGCAAATCCGTTTCAAGTTTCCTACGCCGATGTACCTTAAGACAGTCAAGTAATATTTAATAAATTTCGATAATTCTCAAATACTTATCTTTAGCAAGCATCCAGATCGATAGGTTCATTGAAGTTGAGATACTTGAATGCCAATTAGCTTGGGCGGATAGTTGAGAGATAAGATAAAGTACTTTACTTCGAATTTTATTATAAAAACTCTTTGTCAACATATGATTTTCTTTTTACGCCCCTTTTCGTCATAAGTTTAATAAATACAACCAGCATAAAATTTAACCTGATTTGCTTATATCTCTAAAATATTCTATCGCGTTAAGGCAATAAGTAATATTTCGGCTTGGATAAAAACGGTAATCTTGAACTTTCTATCGGAATACGGAGTAATCATATTTGTAAGTTTTTATTAGGTTTGATCTGAAATGCTCCTGTATTGACCACTCAAAACTCAAACCTTAATTTATTGTATTTTGGCAAGATTTACTTAAAATTAGAATGACTCGATATAACGCGTTTCCAACAATCATCCATTACAGTATCAGTATATTGATTAAAAAGCATCAACGGTGATCACATCGACAAAAAAAAACGTCAAACATATTAATAATTGTACATATGGGTGAAAAAAAATAAAGATCAACATTGGAATCCTCGGTAGCTTTCTGCACCTTTTTATTTTATAATACATAAAGTGGTTGAATGAGGATTGTTTTTTTTTGTTTTTTTGCGACGCGTGAAAAAAATGAAGAATTATTATTGGATAACATATGGGACTTTGTAATTAATTTTATTTGTGGGCGGATTACACTTGAATAAATAAAGTAAAAAATAATGAACCATCAATGAATTGAGGAAAATAACAAACAGTCTTTACGAACTGCATTTTTTAACGCGGCGAATCATCTTGAGAAGATCCAAAGGTTACACATTCCGGTTAGCGATTCGAATATTAAATACCCGATATGTTAATTCATAATTTTCGGAAATTTTTAACATAAAATTTTTTCGTTACCATTTAAAGTTTGGACCTTTTAAAAGCGCTAGATGGAACGCTAGTTTTAAAAAAAAATTTTTTAAGCAACACTCAAATTTTATTGGCTGGTTTGCAAGCATGTGATTTGTGATCACATTGTGATCATTGTGATCCGTGGGAGACACTAAAATAATTTATGAAACTATTTCGTCATTGATCTATATCATGTTGATTTCGTGAAATGAAAGTGCACTGTAATGATCATAATCTGATTTTTGAATGATTTCAGAAAGAGTTAGGATATACAATTTGACCAATTGCTTTCTTCGAAAATTTCCGGTCTAACCAATTACATTTTATATTATGTACATTATGAAACCCCTTTTTATTTAAGTAAAAAAGTTTTGGAGACTTATCATTGTGCAACCCGCATTCTTTGTCCGAAATAGGAAATTTCGAATATTATATTTTTATCATCACATCTCTTTTCCATAATACCTTTTTTATCATTTTATTTGTTTACTTGGTTGAATGTGTTTCATGGGAAAACTTTAATTTCCTTGGCCTTTCTATGAACGGGATATGTGAAAAAAAAAAATAAAAATAAAAATAAAAATTTTGAATATCCTTAAATGTATGAATAATAATATTGTTCTTCTTTTAAGACAATATTTACCTGTCGTACGGAACATTCACGAATGTTGATTGTTTCACATCAAACGATTTTGTCCCCCCTAATATTGTTCTTAATTTATAATATTAATTATCTATTTTTTTTTTTTCCGATCTTACAAAACTATAAAATTTTTTAATATAAAAATGATGAAATTTGGTAAAAGATTTTTTCAAAATAATTCAAAGAAAACAAACACTTCTAAAAAAAAAAAAGTATCATCTCGAAAAAAAAAACAATAAATTCAACAACAAATATATATATATATATTTATCTTTTTAAAATAAAATATGGTCACTACCACACAGTTAGTAACGCTTGATCAATTTGTACCGGAATTAAAGAATATAGATATTCAAGATCATCATCAGCTTATTGATGGCATCCCAATAACTTATATCCTAGAAAAATTGCATCAGATGGGACCAAATTATTATAATGACAAATCAACCGCTTATGCGGAACTTCATATTTATGGATATGACAAGAAGCCTTTTTTTGTTCACAAGGAATATCTTATATTACAATCATATTTCTTTAAAGAAGCGTTTCAACAATTGACCGATGGTGATGTCATAACCATCTCCTTACCTTACCCTCAAGAATTTGAACCCATCCTAGAATATTTATATGATGGTGATGATAATAAATTTTATGATACGTTGACGCTGGATAATTATAAAAAGATTTGGAAAAATGTCGAATACCTTGGTCTAGGTCTTGAGCCTATCTCCGTTTGTCTCGATTTTCATCATAAAGTTACCAATGTACAATAATAAAAAACCACCAATTTAAAATTCAAAAAATTAAAAATTAACCCAACAAAATTACTTTGATCAGCAAGCTGATTCTTTCCCTAGTTGATTTAAACCAACAAAGTTAGTTTCTTTCTTTAGCATTTAGCAAAATTCTCAAAATTCTGTATTATATTTGTAAAAAGAAAATTTTACATTCAATAAATTATGTATAAATATTGAAAGCAAGCATCCATAGTATACTGCATTTTACTCTGATATTATAATAAACAAATGATTTTAATATATCTCTTTTTGCATAAATAACTAAAAAATATGTGATTTGTTAAAATCGGATGCATCTTATTTTCACGCAAAAGATATTCGTTTTTCATCCTTAATTATCAAATTTAATTATTTCTTATGAAATCTTTAATTTTTTTACAAATATGAAAATGAAAATAAAAAAAATAAAAAAATAGATAATTACAGTATATATAAATAAAAAAAAAAGCAAAAATATATGTACAGCTTTGATGTTAAAAAAAAGTAGGCATAATTTATAAAGAATTGTTCTTATTCATGATATAATCTTTGAGATCATGTTGAAGGAAAAACAAAGAGGAGTTCCTAAAATGCATTTTGTAAAGAAGGTCTAAATTTTAAAATTATTGATGAATTACAAAAAAAAAAATAAAAAAAAAATTAATACCTCTTCTGTTTCAGAAATTTGTTCTCGAACAATCTCAGGAGATGATAATTCCCCAACGGAACGTGAGGAAGTTGATCGAAGAGCTAAAGAACGTCTTGAAGTTGGCTCTTGATCATGATAATTTATATTTTTAATATCCGTACCAAAGACTGCGTCTAATCCATGCTTTATTAAATTTCAATCAATCGAATTAATTTTAAATCAAATACTGTAATTTTACATCAACGGAAATTGTGACGCAGAAAATTACCTTGACAGTTCCAACGACTCTATCACCAAAATCACTCAGATGAAAATGATTTCGCGAGGCGTCATCATTGTCTTGAATGGTCGTAGTAGAAGATTCATCAACGTTTGATCTTTCAACAATTTTAGAATCATGATCTTTACATTGATCAGATCGTTTTTGTGAGTCATTTATTAATTCATCTGACGACGTTGATTTATTATTTAATGATGCATTTATTGCAATATCTTGAGATAAATTCTGTTCGTTCAAGGAAGTCATTTTTTTCATTTAATTCTTTTAATGAATTGAAGGATGAGACTTTTTATTTTATTTTATCGATTATTTTATAATGATGTCAAGATATCAGTCACGTTTTGTATTAGCCAAAACATGATTTAAAACCTACGCTTGTAAAAAAAGTCCCACTAAAATCTTACGCCACATGAGTATTGTCACTTGATGGATGATGCCATCAGCCGGGATTTCTGTGTCACTCATCATTTGACTTTGTGAAAAATCTCGCATCATATTTAAGCTGTCGAGAACACTAATTTATTGTAGGTTCGGCCAGAATTAAGATAATTAGAGCAAATATTACTTACGAAATCTAACCTTATATAGGCAAAGGCCTAGAGTATTAATTCGTAAATTAATCAAATAAGAAAACTATCGCAAATTTAAATAATTTATAAGTAATATATACTTCTCATTAGACTTTTATTTTTTATCTAATCATAAACTAATTTAAAAAAAAATATATCTATTTAGAAAATCGTGATCGCCAGCACGGCGCAGATCACTTGAGCTTGCTCAGTATCGCCAAGCGTTCTACTACAAAGAATTTGTTGCGGATAAAAGGCGGAATGGGGAATACCAAATAACGGTAACGTTTAATCGAAAATATTGCTGCACTATTGCATTTTTTATTTTTCTGCCTTTAATTTCCGGTGCTATAGGTTCGATATTAAATTATTTCATTTGCGAAAAAATAATTTTTACCTGATCTGTTTTAATCTATAGAAAACTTATCCGCCACCTATTAGATAATGAAAGGAAAAAAAAGTTAGAGGAAAGTACTAAGAATATATGGACTGGAAAGGGAAACTGTAATTCTAAACAATGAATAAAATAAAAAAGGTAAACCTGAGAAGGAGGATCATAAAAGCTACCCGAAGAAGAAGTTCGTGTGCAAAACCCAACAAAATTTTGATATTCATCAAAGGAGTCTACACGTTAAACAACTCTTGGGCCAGAATAGCAATTCACGGGGGTAATCTGCATCAATGTTATCAAACCGCTACCCTAAGTCTGATAACAAAGATGCCACATGAAATGCTTCTCAATTTAAACCTTATAAAGATCCTCGATCTACATGAAAACCTTAATCTCATTGTTAAATAAAAAAACAGTTTGAAACAAAAAATTCTAAAATGGATGGATTGTTAAAGGGTTAAAGAAAAAGATACTTCCTATAATAGCTAAACGCCATTGCCTAACGTTATAAGAACGTGGCTGCATTATTTAGAAATCGATGTAATTCTTTCACCTCATGTATTATATTATCATTATCTAGTAGACGCGATTTTAGCAAAAAATTTCTGTCACCTATTAGATCAAAATGAAGAGAAAAAAATGTTAGAGGAAAGTACCAAGAATATAAAGGCAGGAGAGGGAAACTGTAATTACTAACAATGAATAAAATAAAAAGGTAAACGGGAGAAGAAGGATCATAACAGATACCAAAGAAGGGGTCCATGTGCAAAACCCAACAAAATTTTGATATACATCAAAGGAGTCTACACGTTAAACAACTCTTTGGCTAGAATAGCAATTCACGGGGGTAATCTGCATCAATTCACCAAACCGTTACCCTAAGTTTGACTACAAAGATGCCACATGAAATGCTTCTCAACTTTAAACCTTATTAAAATCCTTTATCACCATGAAAACCTAAATCTCATTGTTAAATAAAAAACGGTTTGAAAAATAAAACTATTCTAAATAAGGGAAGGGATCGTTAAAGGGGAAAAGAAAAAGATACTTCCCTTATAAATATCTAAGCCAAAAACTCTGGTCAATATTGTTGAAAGTGTTAATGATATTTTCAAATTGTTAAGTAGCGGAAAGAAAAAAATTTATTAAAACTGCAAACGAATACTTCGCGATATCATAATATAATTTTGTGTTCGAAATAAAAAAACAAATTTTTCTTAAACGAAGGGCTGAGAAAAACTTGAAGGCTATAAAATGTAGTTTTATACTTAGTACTCCAAAAGGTATTACAGGGCTTATTATTACCTAATCTAATCACTCTTCTCATTAATAATCATTACTCATTACTTCATTTCCTCATGTAAGTTATCCTAATAAGGTCATATCGCTGTAAGTTTATAACGAGCTGACTTTATGCAAAAAAAAAATCTAAACGTGTCAAAATGTCTAAAACGGCAATTAAACCAAATATGATTCAGTCCAGAATATATAACGAAAGAGACTAATCATATATTAACGTCATAAATTGATTCCAAGACCCACTGTAAGTCCGATGATGCGATATAATTTATTTATTAATTTTTTCAGATAAAGAAATGATAGAGAAGCAAAGAGGGAGGGAATACGCGTGCTCTCAGAATAATTTCTACAGATAATTTATCTCTACATCTATTAATAACTGCAAGATTCCCACCACATACCCAAAACATCATTTATTCGATGTGCTGCGCACTGATTTAACCACAAGATTTTTCCCCATGTGACAAATAAAGCGTAAAATAATTTGTGCGAATACTATCTGGCATGTGACGAAAATCTGGTGACTATCAATCGTCATATTTATTTCTAATTCCGGCCCAAGATTAATTCTAATCTTGGCTGAAAATTAATCGTGATAACAAGAATGATTTACCACACATCAGATAATTAAACTTAAAACCTGCCTGACTTACCATTTTGTGTCAAGATGGAGCGAGTCCGGAAAAAATTAACAATTTCTTTGGAATTCACACCAAATACATCATATTTAATGCAAAAAAAGTTGCAAAATAATCATTAAATGATTAAGAAGACAATGACGCTTTGTGTGAAATCGAAATTATAAATGATTTTCTCGGTAATAGGAATAACCGAAAATGGAAATGATGCCAAACTTGGATCAGTGTAAAACCGTTAAAAAAACTTTTTTTTTGTTCCACCATTTACGCAAGTGAGTATATTTTTTTCATTAGTTTTCTCAACGCAACTTGATTAAATATGTGCAGCCTTCTAGACGATCCTAATGAGTGGAGGCTGAGCGGTGGTATAAATTATGGTAAGGTGTTAAGAGCCACCTTTGTACCATTTTTAACAAAACTTTGTTGAATACATTATTTATTTATTTATTATTCTATAGACGTAATATCATCGAATGGAAGAAATTGGCATTATCAATTTCTAAAAATTGATTTTAAAAAAGTTGAAATGAAACCTAATAATGAGAGAATATACTCTACTGATAATCAAAATCAAAAACAATCTCTATTTTTAAAATTTATTTCTTTAGAATTATCAATTTCTTTAAATTATTCTCGTTTCGAAGTTCTTATTCCTTTAAATCAGGTTATTAAGTTTCATTTATCTCAAAATCAAACCGTTCAATTAGAATTAAAAAAGAATTTTACAAGATATGTAAGTATGTCATCCGTATTATTTATTTATAATTTACTATTGTTTTTATTAGTGGCTTAAAGCAAATCAAAACAAATCGAAAATGATTTTATTAGTATTATCGCAATTACAGAGGAACTCATGTTTCAATACAAGAAGACCCTACAAATGGCAAATTCAAAGATGCAAATTTTTTTATCTTTGTACCAGCTGATTGGGTTGATATCAACACCTTAAAGTTTTTTGTGGAGGGTGTTAATGAACTTCTCACACACAAGGTAAATTTCATGCTATTAAAAATCATTAACAAGAGAAATACATATCAGTAATTAAAAAAATTCGTTTTATTGAATAAGGTAAAACCAAATTCAAATAATCACCGTTTCTCAGATATAAACTCTCTTGTCTACATTGGAGATGAAAAGGATCAGATCAAATCGTTTCAAAATCTTTGTAACGATGATGAGGTAAAAAAGAATTTATTAGTTATTTTGAGTATAATTTATTCAAATCAAAAAGTTAATTTTATTATTATTCTCAAATCTAGTTGCAAATGAGATGCAACTTTTTGAGCGGATCAAGAATTCTTCGTGTTTCAAAAGAGACGCCATTCCAAGAAATTCTTACAATGGTTCGAGAACGTTTTAAAGTCGATATCGATCCTAACGTAATAACGTATAAAAATCAAACCAAAGACATGATTAATTTATTGGATGAAGAAGATTGGAATGCTGCTAAATGGGAGATGAATATGACAAAAATTCAAATGATTGACTTATACTTTTTTCCAGTGATTTGAAAAACTAGAAAATGTTCAATTTGTAAACTAAATAAAAAAATATTTTATAAATAAAACTTTTCGCTCATGAAATTTATAAACTTTATCTCACGTGATCAATACAGTCTTAGTTCACGTGTAACATTGATTTGATGTTGTGTCATCCAAGGTTTTTGAAATGAATTAAAAATTTTGGTTAGGATGCCCGAGAATCTTTTCATTTCTTTGGTTCCCGCGAAATTGCAGGTGTAATTCTTTACCTTTAATTGGGAATTGCTTGATTACGAAATCTCCAATTATTTTTCAAATATGGTAGTCATTATAACCATTTAAAGGGAAAATGATTTTTCTATTAATAGTAATTATGGGAAACTCCTTTTTTCTTATGGTTACACTACTCGTAATTCATTTTTAAGAGGAAAAAATTTTTTTCTGAAAAGGCTTTTTCTTGACCTTGTTTAAAAGAATTTCACATTCACATTCACAGAATTTTAATAAGGTACTTGTAAAAAAAAAAATTATATAAAGAAGTTGCCAATTTATTATCAGAGATTATCATTCGAAAAGGGAAAAACTTGAAACTTGATTTCAACGAATGCACCCGTAAAATAAAGTTTTGATTTGATATTAGCTTTTTAAAGAAAAAAAGCAAATTCACTGAATCTCAATCACGGTTGAATCAATTGCCAATTTTGTAAAAACAAGGAATTTCCTTCGAGTACAAAGTTTCATCTTATATCCCTTATCGAATAATATCAGCCTTTCATTGAAATTTGTCTCGTGTTATAAATAGAGAGCGTATGTTCCAATCAACAAGATAGTTTTATTTTTTTGTAACGTTATCCGTTCCTATTATCAAAATTTTCTCGTACACAAAGATGTGGGAATATCACAAATGGAATAAAGTTTCATATTTACGCGATGGACAGACAGCAGCTTGATTTTTATTATTTATTTATTTATATTTTTTTTCAATGAATTTCTAAAGTAGTCGTCCCCAAAATTTTTTGTATTCTAACTATTGATGGAATTAATTATCTAATTGCATGATACCATTTGTCGTATGAATATGACAGTATAAATATCAAGCATTTTCAATTTCCCAATTTCTTTACTACTTTTATACAAACTTGCTCTTTTTTTTTTTAATAAAACCCGATTTCCCCGATTTAAAAATGAGTTTACCGTATAATAAAAATGGAAACGTCATCTTTTTAGTTCGAAAGGAGGGGGTTAAGAATAATGATTATGATGAAAGAATAATACGAGAATTCATCCTCCAAGAAACCACACCGGAGGAAAGAGAAGAAATGCAAAATTTAACTTTCCTTACAATAAGCGAATTAATTAAGCCGAAAATAAGACACGATAAAGATAAACGCCCGCCACGCATACAAAACGCGTTTGTAATCTTTAGAAAAGATTACCAGGCTTGGATAGCGTCAGAATTTCCTTATTTGACGTCAGAATTTCGAGATATTTCAATCAAATCAAGTGCACTCTGGCATGAAGCGTCTGAAGATAAGAAAAATTGTTTTAACAAAATTTCCAAACTTGCCAAACGATTTCACGAAAAGATCTGGTCCGGAAATTTGTACAAGCTTAGATCTCCAAATACCACTTCAAATGTGTCCGCGTCGCGTGGTTGTACTTTTGATAATTCGTTACCACCAATTTTTGAATCGTCGTATCATCCTATGAACGAACAAGAAAATCAAGTGAATGCAAGGATTAACAATCTAAAGGTCTATAGGAAGACATTAGAAATCAATCCGTCTTTAGAATTCTTTAATAAATATTGTAAGGACGTTTTGAACAGTTTGGATAAAAATATTTGCCTTTAATATTATATAATTTACATATTAAGTGTTCCTTTTTGACTTTTTTTTAAAAAAAAAAAGTACAAGTACAGAACATGTATAAGTTTCTTTATACAAAACTTTAAATTTTCTATGTATATATGATTTTTTATATTTATCATTTTTTGTGTAAAAAATTTATTATTTTATTAGTTAATCATTAACGTTAATAAATCTTTCTCTAAAAGTAATCTAATGCAAATATTAGACAAAAATGGTAATTAATTAACCATTTACAACCAAAAATCCTTAATATAGCTATTATTTAAAACCTACAGTAAATAGACCATTTATTAAATCTAATAAACCTAAAATTTCTTTGTTACATATCTGAAAAATAAATTTAATCAGGACCAAAAATTTGATAAACTTTAAATAATTTATCTACAAAATGATTTAGAATAGATATAAAGAAAAATTAGTAACTTAAATACAACTTAAAAAATCAAGTAAAAATTTAAAATATAATTTTTTAAATAAAAAATTAAAAATTAATTTAATTTTCATTTTAATTGTAAATAAGAATTAAATCTATTAATAAATTTTTTGAAAAATAAATATAATATCAATTATTTCTTTTGTTATTTATTTAATAAAAATACCATTTTTTTCATTTCTAATATTATTAATATTATTTTATAATTCATTTTCAAAAAAGCTATTAATATTATAATTTGATCTATAATATAATTATCTATTTAAACTAAGAATTTATCATAAGTATTAAATAATAAAATTTTATATAATGATATGATTTTATTCTTTTAAATAGATATATTAATATTTTATTAATATAAAAATATTAATAAAGTTTTTAGAAAAAATTTTAAAATATTAAATTAAGAAAAATATCTTTAAAATTCACTTTAAAAAATATGATTATTAATAAAAAATATATAATATTTAAAGATTATTATATAGTAATACATATATTTATTAAAAATATTTTTTTTTTTAAATTAATTTGTTATAACAAATAATGCTTTATCAGATTTTTGTCTATTATTAAGATAGGTCACTTCTAAGCCTAAGAAAAGGTTTATATATAAATTTCTTTAAAGATCTTATTATAAAAGGAAATTTTATATTATATTATTATGATTTTTTTCTTTATTAATTAATTAATTAATAGAATTTAAGAAAATCATAAGGTAAAATTACATATAAAAGTTAATTATTGACTAGTGATTTATTTTAATCCTACTTTATCATTAAAATTTATAATCTTAGGAATCCTACATCAAGTATCTAGAATTTCTTGAAATTACTTATGTAAAATTTGAATTTAGAAACTTAGAAAATTTAGAAAATTTATTTATTCTTGATAATAAACTTAAAAGTAAGTTTAATATAATGATTTATAATCAAATCCTAGATAATAAACATATAAAATGTAAAAATAATTATGATTTCAAATTGATTCCTTTTATTAATATTTGAAACTTACAAAAGAGTTAATTTATAATTTAAATAAAATTTATTTTATTTATATAAATTAATTTGATATAACTAACTAATTGCTATATTATAAACTAATTAAATTTGTAAATATAAATGTAAAAAATAAAATACTACAAATATAATAAATATATATAAGAAAAAATATATACTTATAATAATAAATATAATAATAATAAAAAAATAATACAATAATTAAAAAATATTAATAAACTGATTTGCAACATTAGAGAATCAGAAATTTATTGCTGATTATTTCATATAGCAATTAGCAGGATTATAATATTATCATTCAATAAATTATCAATAATTAATGTAACAAAATCAATTTCTACTATTGATAACTATTAAATATATATATATAATATATTATATAAATTAATTAAGAATATAGGTTTTAAGATTTAGATAATATTTTTATATAAATCTGTAGTTATAAAGAAATAAAATAGGTTTATTAAAAGTAAAATATTATAGTTTATTCAAAAAATAAAGTAGGAAATTAGCTAATTAAATTTTAATATTATTTAAAATTTAACATAAAAAAATTTTTGTATAATTATAATAAATGAAAATAATATTAATAATACTATATATAATATATAATTTCAAATATATAGACAAATATAAAATACGTATATAATAAAATAAAATAAAATCTTATGCAAAATTATTATAATATATACATATTAATTATTTTTATAATATATTTAATAAAATTTATAAACTTTATATTTTATTTATTAAATTATTTATATTTACTTAATAATTATATATACTAAATTTATTATGTAGACTTTTACATATTATTACAAATTTATATGTAGAAATTTGTAATTATATGCAAATATACATACTATATTATAAAAATAATATACTAACTATATATATAACATATAGGCCAAAAAGGGGATTCTGGGACAGATTTCAAATATACCTCCAAATCCGCCTACGAATCCATTTTAGCTATATGAATCAATTATCAAATTCAAACCTCTAGCGCATTTTGACTCAATTCTAGA